CACCCACACCCACACCCACACCCACACCCACACCCACACCCACACCCTGACTTACTTCTTTTGATTAAATTGATGAAATGAATTCTGAGAAAAGGTGTCCGTACTGTTTTTCCGTTAGATTAATAAAGCGAATTCTGGGAAAAAGATATTGGGACTGTTTCTCCGTTTGATTGATGAAGTAAAGTCTGAGAAAAAACTACGCAGTAACCACTGAAAAGAGAGAGAAAAAAGAATTTATTGCTCTATAAATACTTTGTCTTGTTTTATGAATTGAATTGATTTGATCTACTTAGTATGTGGTGGTTGATGGCTTCAACAAGAATTTGTTTATGGCTTTTACTTATGATTATTACACAAGCAGTCGGAGAAAATATACGATCAATGGAAATGTCTTTAATGGTTGATTCCAAGTTTCAATGTGCAAATACAACTTGTTTACCATTCATTAATCTTATTACATCCAACATTAGAAATTGTCAAATAGCCTGTTTAACTCGAAGTCAGTGTAGAGCAGCTACTTTTCGCCAATCAACTTCAAATTGTGAATTATTTGCTCATATATTTAACCAAAACGGAAATATGTTGAATGATGCAGACACTACTAGTATGAATGTTATTATTGGAACACGATTTCCGGCAGGTCAGTATAAATAGAACAGACTTACGACGTTAGTGTACTGATTTTCTTATGAGAACGATGCGATTATTAAATTCTGTTACTCACAGTCATTATTCTCATTAGTACTCATCCTTACATACATGCTGATACGAGTACTTGCCTATTTATTCTCTTTCTCGTAGAGAAGAGTCCAGTAAGAATAAATTGTTTGTTTGTTTGCTTGCTTGCTTGCTTGCTTGCTTGTCTGTCCGCAGGGTCAAAAAAACATTGAAATTTAATTTTTCAGATACTTCCGGAAAACTTTCACTGGGGGGTAATCGACGGCGGGGAACTTGAATCTGAGGTTAGTTTATTAAAACTAACTAGTTAATAATTAGTTAACAATCAGTTAATAATTAGTATTATTAATTTTTAAAATATTTTCAGAAAAGTTGGACCAAAGGGTAATTGAGTATGCAGAACTTGGACCTGAGATTGATTTATTAAAATTAATTAGTTAATAATCAGTTAATAATTGATATTATTAATTTTTGAAAAATGTTTAACCGACGGTAATCCGGTGCCAAGAATTCGAATGTGAGGTTAATTTTAGTTAAAAATCAATTAATAATTAATTAATATTATTAATCTTAAAGATAGTTCCAAGAAAGTTTTACCACAGGTTAATTCGAGAATCGATTTTTTAGAAAAGACATTTTTGGGGCATTTCGATGCGGAGAATTCGAATCTGATGTTAGTTTTATAAAATAATTTTATGGATCACTTTTTTAGGGAGAGAACCAATTTTTATAAAAAAAAAATTTCATAAGGGGTGACAGAAGGGTAATTAGGGTGGAAGAACACAAATCTGGTGTTAATTTTTCCAAACTGTATGAGCAAAAAGTTTAGTATTGTAGAATACGATTCCTACGAGAAAGAGCTGAGCGAGTCCGCAGACGAGCGTTACTTGTAGTTATAATATAAACGGATACTCTTCATACATATACACACTCCATTATATATATATATATACATATGTTGTGGTAGTTATATTTAGTTACAGTTTTAGATTTATATATTCATATATATACATACATATGTAGTTCCAGTTATATTTAGTTATAGTTCTAGATTTATATATTGATACATATGTAGTTCCAGTTATATTTAGTTATAGTTCTAGATTTATATATTCATATATATACATACATATGTAGTTCCAGTTATATTTAGTTACAGTTTTAGATTTATATATTCATATATATACATACATATGTTGTGGTAGTTATATTTAGTTTTAGATTTAGGTTTATATATTGATACATATGTAGTTGCAGCTACATTTAGTTAAAGTTTTAGATTTAGTTATTCATATACATACATACATATGTTGTGGTAGTTATATTTAGTTTTAGTTTTAGACTTATATGTTCATATATATATCTAATTATAGATACGGTGGGGGTGGGTCGGTTTGGGTGTGTTTTTTGTGGGTGAGAGGTTCATGACAAGAACTAAGTATTTATACGCTTGCCCTTTTTTGAGCTCGAGGCCTACTGTGTACACGTTTTCGTCGCCCGTCGCCCGGCCCCGAGGCCGGGCTCCTAAAATTAATGATAGTGTGTATTACGTGAGGATACTGTATTTTCGTGACAGAGTAGTAGCTGTGTTGAATGAAGAGTTTCTCTTTTTTTAACAAAAGTCCTGCTCTAAACTCTGTAAAGAGCTCATCTGGACACTGAGTCGCAGAAAAATTCCCGAAAACCAATATACTTAAATACTGATAATATGCTCGCATACTAATACTTCGAAAAACTCATTAGTCTTTGCAGAAAACGGTTTTGCCACAAATTTATATCTACTATTATGTAACAGTATTATGTAAGAATAGAACTGAGTTGAATTATAAACATATCTGCATCTACATCAGTATCTCTATACGTATCTACAAAATAAAAAAGACTGAATATATTCCCAACTTTATCTGAAACTAAATATATATGTATGTATATATATATATATTGGCTAGTGGGCCATTTGATTTTGCAACAAATTCAAAATCTTATACCGCTATACCGCTATCGCGATATACGAGGTCTAATGCTGTTACAAAAAAGTTTTTTAGCAAAAAGCGTTTTGGCAAAACAAAAATTTTTGATATAAAAATACTTTTTCGCAAAAATAAATTTTTCGTGATTCCTTTGATTTCATCACTCTAAACGATTTTGTCGCAAATTGTTTTGTTTTTAAAGAAACTGAATTTTCCGCAAATTCAAATTTCCCATCATATGATATATGAATACAGAAATCTAAATCTATTCCTAAATATAACTGTAAGTACATATATATGCAAATATATAAATCTAAATCTAAAACTAAATATAACTGCAACTACATATGTATGTATATATATGAATAACTAAATCTAAAACTTTAACTAAATGTAGCTGCAACTACATATGTATGAATATATAAACTTAATCTAAAAATAAATATAACTGGAACTACATATGTATGAATATATAAACCTAAATCTAAAAATAAATATAACTGGAACTACATATGTATCAATATATAAACTTAATCTAAAAATAAATATAACTGGAACTACATATGTATGAATATATAAACCTAAATCTAAAAATAAATATAACTGCAACTACATATGTATGTATATATATGAATATATAAATCTAGAACTTTAACTAAATATAACTACCACAAAATATGTATGTATATGTATAAATATATAAATCTAAAACTACGACTACATATATATGTGTGGATATATATATATATATATATATATACGAATATTTATTTTCGAAGTGATATTAGGCATTTGATAACCATTTATATTATAAGTATAAATAGGCATCTCATGGCTGATACATGTATACACCACTAATCCAGCATGGTGAAAGTACATATTGCTTCAACTATGTTGAACAACTTAGAATGACTTTCACTTAAATTCGGAAGTTTGCTTATTATTCATCATAACTGAATTGTAGGACAATGTTTGAGTTGCTTCAGTTTGTATCATCGTCTCAACTCGAAAAATATCAATAAAGTCGTTCATAACATATTTTTTCTTAATTTAGTTTAACATTTTATAATGAATCTTATCTTAATCATGACAACAAAGAGAAGTTTGTTGAAAGGTTGAAATCATTTGATTTGTTATCAATAGATAGACACTTTATACATATGAGAGATTCGAGGTCCTTTTAAGAACGATATTTTTTTCTCACTTTTCTATTTTATTTAGAATGGACAATGACAGGAAACATGAATGTTACACGAGGATTTCACACAGCATCCACATTAGCAAATGGATCGATATTAGTTGCTGGGGGAGTCACCAACGGCGGTAGTACTGTCAAAAGTACTGAATTGTATAATCCATCAACAGGCACTTGGACAACCACAGGAAGCATGAGTGTCATACGAAAATATCACACAGCATCCACATTAGCAAATGGATTAGTATTAGTTGCGGGTGGATTCAGTGGTTCGAGTTATTACAGTAGTGCTGAATTATATGATCCTTCGGCAGGCAGTTGGACAACCACAGGAAGCATGCATGTCGCACGGGATTATCACAAAGCATCCACATTAACAGATGGATTAGTATTAGTTACTGGTGGAAGTAGCGGTGGTAGTTATCCTGGTAGTACTGAATTGTACAATCCATCAACAGGTAATTGGACATACACAGGAAGCATGAGTGTCGCACGGCGATCTCACACAGCATCCATATTAGCGAATGGGTTAGTATTAGTTGCTGGTGGATACAACAGCGGTGGTTATGTCAATAGTGCTGAATTATATAATCCATCAACAGGTAATTGGACAACCACAGGAAGCATGAGTGTGGCACGACAATATCACACAGCATCCATATTAGCAAATGGATCGGTATTAGTGACTGGTGGACAAGGTAACAGTGGTTATCTTACTAGTGCTGAATTATACAATCCATCAACAGGTAATTGGACAACTACGAGAAGCATGAGTACTGCCCGAGCTCGCCACACAGCATCTACGTTAACAAATGGATTAGTATTAGTTGCTGGTGGATACGATGGGTTTAATTTTCTCAATAGTGCTGAATTGTACAATCCATCAACAGGCACTTGGACACCTATAGCAAACATGAGTACCGCACGATCTGTTCACACAGCATCCACATTAGCAAATGGAATAGTACTAGTTATTGGTGGACAGAGCAACAGCTCTAATTATCTCAATAGTGCTGAGTTTTATTAATCGATGTAGACAGAATGACATTCTCTTTTGTGAACTGAATCACAGTTTTTTTTAATATGTAATCAAGCTATTGAATCATTCACTAAATAACATATGAGTTGTAATAAATTCGAAGTTATATTTTATAGCGATTGTTGAAAAAGAGCCATGATGGAGAGAAAAGAGATCATTACTTTAACAACTGAATAGATATTTTCATTGAAGAAGGGTAGATATAAACACAGATATGAAGAATATTAATCATTTGATGCTCCCAATTATATGTATTCAGATAATAACGTATGAATAATCGTTCTCAAGTGATTACCAGAGATGAATAACTGAATGATATATTCAAACAAATTAATTTTTCTCAACTACACGCTTTGTTGTCCTATAATTTGATCAGCACAACTTGTTATATTTATAAAGTGGATATATTTCATGTTCTTATTAGGCGTATAATTTTATTAAGCGAATGGTAGTCTCGCCGAATAAGAAATCGAATCCCCATGTTAAAGAGACAGGGTATATTGAAAAAAAAGTATTACTCATTTCTGACTAAATGGATGAGAAAATAAAATAAAATTTATATTACTGAAAGTAAAAGGAGGGTGAGTGTGGGTGTTGGAATGAGTATTTAATTGACTCTAAGTGTATTTAAAATTACACTTACGCAATGAAATTAATTTCAATCAATAATATATATCTCAAACAAATTGATATCGTACGTGATAAAATAAAAAGACAACAAACACAGAAATAATCTTCAGGAAGAAAAACGATAAAAAGTGTCTAATCAAATCAACGAAATCTTTTGTTTAGTTGATAATTTATAGAATGACATATCATTTTATTTCTGATGTTCATTGTTAAAAAAGCTGTTTTTTAACGCTTCATTTCCAAGTAATTTGTTAAAAAACGATTCTCATATTTATCCCAGGGTGTCGATATGAAGGTTCTACTCATTCAAGCTACACTCACACCCACACCCGTAAATATTGCGTAAAATCCTGTGAATAACGGTGTATTTACGAGTGTACAATTAATGCAGAAAGAGTATTGTCAGGTTAAGACGTAAATACGAGTAGAATATTAGAAATTAACGTGTATTTATGAAGTATTTATTAATGTAGAAAAACACGTTCAAGATTTAACGCGTTTTTTTTCGTTTTGTCGGCCTAAGAAGAAACGCTTGTCAACATTACCAAGTGGTCGCCTTTATCTGATATATAAAATAAATTTTTACATTTGTTTTTCATTGACTTATATTTATCTTTCTGTTGACAGTTATCGCTAAAAAGGCAGTGTCAACGCTTCAATGCGAAATATAGGAAGAAGAGAGGTCTGAATGCAAAGAACGCCTACATAGAATTCGAGATAGATCTTTTTACAGTTCGAAATATTGCTATTAAAAATAGAGTGCGGATGTGGACAGGTTATGAGATGATAGGTACCCACACTCACGTTCTCAAGATTATATGAATCATTTGTGCTTTTAATTTATCTTCGACATATATATTGAATCTTAATCTTATGATCTACAATAAATATTCTAATGCTGTAATCTGTAGATAAATGAAACTGTGTTCTCTTTTCTAAACGACTGATAGTACTTTACAGCAGCGATAAGGTTTTTAAAATGACAGTACTCTACGATAAAAACATTTCATAAGAAAAAAAAAACACCATGAAGATATTTTGGTTACTAACCATTGCAATTCTCATACAAACAGATGTATATGCAGCAGAATGTCCTCCAACAACGGCATCGATACAACTTCTCTTAGATGAAGCTTTTATTCCCGGAGCTGCATTCATAGTTGTAAATTCAACTGACATTATCTATGAACAAGGAATTGGTTATCATACACCACCGATATTTAATGATCGTCGACATATTAATCCATCTAATTCAATTTTTCTATTAGCATCAATTTCCAAAACATTCGTTGGTGTTGCAGCAATGCAAATGGTTGAATCCAATCTTCTCAAACTTGATGTAGATATTAATCTATATCTCACACCTCAAATGAAAGTTATTCATCCACATTATCCGAATAGAACAATTACTATGCGAAATTTACTTTCTCATTCTTCTGGTATCAGACAAAATATTATTGAAGAATATAAACTTTATGTTCCAGGCGATGATTTTACAAAGAGAAATCTTAGTGATGTGATAACAATGTATTTAAGTCATGAAAATAGTTGGTTACCTGTACCACCTGGTAATCTAACATATTATTCAAATATTGGCACTGGCTTAGCTGCACATATAATTGAACTTTTAGCAGGAATATCTTTTGAAGAATATGTTCGAGAAAACATCTTAAAACCTTTAGATATTGATACAAACAATGCAAGTTATCGATTAAGTACATTTCAAAATAATCAAATTAATCTTGTTGATCATTATATTTACAATGCATCTTGGTTAGAATCTTTTCAACAATTGGCACCATATTTTAATTTCTCTCGAGTAAGTTTCAAACAAAATCCCTAAAAATCAAACCGAGATTGATATTTATAGGTAGAAAATTCATCGGATTGGTTTTATGCTCCATTCTTTAGTTTTACTATTTATCCAGCTGGTATGTTACGCATGACGGCGCACTCACTTAGTAAATTTCTTCGATCATTTCTTAATGATTTTCACAATATTTTGCATAATCCTCAATCAATCGATGAAATGCTTTCAATTTCTCCTCAAATGAGTTATGTGAATATGTCCAATGTGGAATTTAGTCTTGGATGGTATTGGGAGATATTTGATGGACGACGTTTTATTGGACATGATGGTTCTTTACCTGGCGTTCGAACATCAATGATGGCAAATGAAAAACGAAATTTAGGTGTAATCATCTTAACAAATGGAGACATTATCAAAAATGATGAACAGGCACAGAAAGTTAAAGACACAATTGTTCATTTGATGATTAAATTATTCGATTGTTTTGAAACAAAGACAAATGCTGCCTTTCACCAACATGTAAACATCATCTACATATGGTGGACAATCAGTATTCTTTATTTTTTTAAATAAAATATATGGGTTTGGGTTAAGAGAAATGATGGTGAAACATTCAAATAGTTGAAAGGTTTTTGTTTTTAATTTTTTTGCTTTCTTTATATTAGTAGGATGTGGTGTGGGCGTGAGTATTCTTTTCAATCATCATCAATAGGCACACCCACATTCACATCCACACCCTCAAGATGTAATTTTTGCTAAGATTATATTAAACAAACTAGTTATATTGAAGTAGGGATGATTTAATCTTTTATATAATTAGAGGAGATTTTTTTTATGTATCGTTTTATTTTTTACTCTCTTTTCTTCATATTTTCATATTGAATATAGTATCATATTTTATCTTGTTTCTATTACTTATGTTCTTTTTTATGTTCAACTTGTTACTGTTACATGATCAAAAATTAGATTATATCAATAAATCAAAAACGAATACAAATACGGTCGTATATGAAATGTATCAATAGAGTACTCATAAAATTAGAAACGAGTAGTTCCTTATAGTGCTTTACTATTCGGCAGTTTTACATAAGTACTCGCTAGTAGTACTCGAACACTTAATGTTCACGACAAATACAACATATGAGTACTCAAACATCATAAGTACTCATGAGTTCTCGTGGCATTTTCTAGTGTGAGTACTTTTTGAGTACTCCGGTTTGAGCTCTTTCACTAGGGTAATATTAAGTGTAAGAGAGTGTTAGTTTATTTCGATCAAGGCACAAATCATTCATGAAATGTAATTTGATCATGTCGAGATAATGGCTTTGTTTCAATGAAGGTCGTTATTGTAATGCTTCTAATCTAATATTTAGTTACCTATATGCAATGCCAATCATTTGTATATGTGAAAAGAAGAAGAATAATCGATATATAAGATAATACTTCATTCCTATTCTTACGTGCAAAGGAGAAGGTAAGGATCAACAAGATAATCTTTGATGACGATTCACACAGGATAAATACAACTGATAGTTGATGCTAGAAGAATTGTGTGCTTTTCTGAGAGTAGAAGTTCTATTTGCTCATCATGCATTTCTTTTATTTTTCAGATAGATGGAATCACGAATGCCGCTCGTCGTGCGCCTTCTCATTGTTCTCGTGCTTTATCTTTTGCAAGGTGTTGTTCTTGGCTTACTTGATGTGGTGTCTATCTATTTGGCTTCGTTTGGTGCAACATGGAAGCAACAAGGCACTCTATCTTTTATCATGTATCCGTTCAGTTTAAAATTACTTTGGGCGCCTCTAATTGATGTCTATTATATTCAACGATTCGGTCGACACCAAACTTGGCTAGTACCTATTCAAGTTTTACTTGGTTCGATCCTGATCGTTCTTTCATTCTTTTTCGAATCGTTACTCGTTCGACTGCGTATTACTGAGTTAACTGTCATCTTCTTTTTCATTGTTTTTCTCACAGCGACGCAAGATATTTGTGTAGATGGATGGGGACTCACTTTGTTTGCTTCATCGAATGTTGTTTGGCAAGCGATCTCACAAATGATTGGACAACCATTAGGCGGTTTCATTGGTTCACCAATTTTTCTCATATTCGAATCGGCTAATATGACAAACAAATACATTCGTCAGCCATTAGGTATTATTGATAAACCTTTCGGACTGTTTACTTTGGGTCAATTTGTACGATTCTGGGGCATAGTTTACTTGCTTGTAGTTTGTGTCATTTCCGTACTGTTTCGCGAACGACAACATACGTCCTCTGATGATCAATCGAAACAGACTAAAGTTCACCTGAAATTATTCGAAACGTACATGTATATTTTTCGACTATTCAAGAAGAAATGTTTTCGTGAGGTCACCTTTATCATTGTTGCGTCACATATTGGTTTTGCAGCTAGTTCATCGATGACCTTTCTCACATTGCTTCGGTAAGTACTCAATCGTGCCAGAAATATGAAAATCGCACTATTTGTTGCAGTTTCTTTGCATATATCTTTAATCTCGACTATTTCTGTATAATCGAAGTCTTTTTAGAACATTCGGATAAAAATGTAAATGTGTTTGCTCGAGTTTAAGTTTATGAGAGTAGGCAAAATAATTGATTTTCAAAATCGTTTTCTCTCAAGAAGATAAAAATGAACAATGTATTAATATTTGTTTTTTCTTTTTTTTTCTTTTAAGCCTCAATTTGTTTAAACGAGAGACATTGGGTCTTATCACTATGCCGCTCATTCTGGTGAAAGTTACTGTGCCACTTCTGCTATCGAAAACTCGTCGGCCGTTAGTCTATTATTCCTACTTCTATATACCACGCATCGTGTTATGTGTTTTTATCGGCGTGTTCGTTTATTTCGCTCCTCATCTATACGCTTACTCGACTGTCTTCTATACTGTTCTCATCCTTCTGCTTGGTCTTAATGATGCTCTTGTTTATGTTCAAGGCGCGGCATTCGGTGGATTTTTCGCTCAAATCAGTGATACACGTATTGGTGGCACATATTACACATTGCTTGCGTCTCTAAACAATGCTGGCCAGGTAATATCGTCGAGTCTTGTACTTTACAGTGCCCACTGGTTGCCAGCGAAATGGGCTTATTTCATTGAGGTAGCTATTTGCCTTTCATTGGGTTGTATATGGTTCTGTTACTCTTGGCGACTCATACATAGATTGCAAAAGTTACCAGTTGAGTGTTGGCATTTGAAGAGTCAATCGGAATCTTTTGATGCGGATCAACATCCAATGGAACCTACGGATAATATAAAAACAGAGACAATTAGAATTTATGGTATAACAGAATGGTTCACTTGGTTATAGATCAACGCATCAATGACTCAATTCGAAACAATACTTCTAGATAGTTAAATATGAACTAGATGACTTCTCTTGATTAAAACAAATAAAATAAACGATATAGAATAGCATCGCATTTAAACAGTCATTATCGCCTGTTTTGTATGGAAACAGTAATAAACGGCAAAAAATATCTTGACGACCACTTTTTTTCGTTTTCACCTACTACTGAACGTTTCACAGCGCTATACATGTTAAATCTTTGCTGGAATAGTTGTATATGTTAATAAATATTTCGTAATAGATGACGAAAAATGCTTTTAATCATATTCATGATCAATGAATACTTCTCTAAATGCTCAAAAGTATTATTATTTTTTCCCCTAAATCTGTGGTTCTGTCAATTGTTATTCTCTGTAGGTTTATTAGAGTAAAATATTGTCTCTTTGATTAAGTAGAGGTTTCCCAATATTTAAATTATATGAATCAAAATCATATGCTAACACAGAAAGTTAGGTATCAAAAGAATACATAAGAAGAGTTTATGATGTTTGGTTGCGAAGTTTTATATTGTCAAATATCACAATAGTATCGAAAGTATTTCATTTAGAATTATGTGATATAATCTTTTTAGTTCTACTAGAGTTTTTATCAATATCATAATCACAACATGCAAATTAAATTACAACATATACTATAACTCATATTATTGTAGCCTATATAGTTCCATGTAATAATGAATTTATATCATATAGATAATATAAAAAAAATTTTTAATGCTATCTCATATTTATTTATTATTTATAAAACTTTTTTTTTGTCAAACAATTTTTATTATAAATTAATGTAAAAAAAACCCAATCTATGATAAATCATTAAAATTCTTATTCATTTATGGTATCTGTTTATTTTTTCTAACTAATTTATAGAATGAATTTAATACTCGTAACATAATTAATCTTAATAAACCAGTAAATAATGATTGATAAATAATTTCATGAAGTGTAGTAACTGGTTGTGCACCACATGTTAAACAAGTTAATAAAAATCCATTTAAACCATATGAACATGTAAATGAACCTTTTCTTGTTGCTTGAATAATTTTCTTTGCTACTTGATCAGCTCTTAGAACACCTGATGTTTCATTAATCATTTGTGTTTCTTTTGGTTTTGTTTTATTTTCTTCTTTAAAACCTGGTGTATCTGTATCAGGTGGAAAAACTAATGTTATATAAATATTTTCGCGTGCTAATTCCATTTGAAGTGATTCAGCTAAACCTTTTAATGCAAATTTCGTTGAACAATATGATGTATAACCGAAAACACCTAATTGTCCAGCTTGTGATGATACAAATACAATTCGACCTGAACCACGTATACGCATAGATGGTAAACATGCTTGTGTACAATAAATACTACCTAAATAATTAATTCGAACTAAAATAAATTGAAATTTATTTAGATTCTTATTTTTTTTTCTTTTCTTATCAAATTTATCTTACTCATCTCTGCAAATTCTTCTGGTTTAGTTTGATGAAATGATCTAGCATAAAAAATAGCTGCATTATTTATTAGAATATCTACTGGTTTGTCATGATGATGACGAATAGAATGTTGAATAGCATTTTCAACTTGTGTATATGATTGAGATATGTCTACAGATAAACATAAAAGACGTTCACTTAAATTTGGTGATAATTCTCTTCGACATTCTTCAAGACGATCACTATTTCGTGCTAATATAGTTACACGTGCTCCATATTCATGAAGAAATAATCGTGCTAATTCTTTTCCAATACCACTTGATCCACCTGTTATAACTACATGACAATCATATAAATCAGTAAGATATTTTGGATGATATAATGGACGATAAAGATAAATTAAAATAGTTAATAATGCTAAACCACCGATACAAGCAAGAATAATAGTTAACAACATTTATCTTACTTTTATCATGTGAAAGAAAAGAAGAAAAGAAAAAGAAAAAGACAATACGTTGAGTTAAGTAAGAATAACATTTTATCAGGTGTCGATATAGAATGTAAGAAAATGACGAGTAATAAACAGAAATATTCGATTATTTTCTGTTAACAAGTGATTTTTATTTAAATGATTATTAAAAAAATAGGCATGCATTCATCTTTACAATACTTTATTTAGAAGATCAGTATGATGATAATTAACAATATATGTCAATGGCAAAGACAAAGTTCGGTTTACTTAAATATATTCAAGGTGTAAAAGAAATGAAGGTTTTTTTTTGTTAAAGAATATATATAGGTCACACAAGTTTGTCTTTCGTTCTCTCGTTTCTTCACTGTATGCTATGATAAAATCATCAAACGACTAGAGTACACAATATATATTTTTTCTTAATTATAAAACTAACTATTTGTTATTTTATATGAATATGTTTCATTTTTTGAAATCTGTATTATAACAGATAAAGTTTATTTTAATTAATCTCAAATACAACATTGAATATCTTTAGGACCAGCACAATGTCCTGCAACAGAACGACCTTTACAATTAGTTGTGGACATACAAACACCTGATACTCCATTAGCCGTACATGTTGGTAAAGTAATACTGACTGAACCATCATCGCAACCTAATACATTCTTAGCCTTTGCCCAATATTGCTCACGATCAGCTTGTCCATTTGTTCCTCCATTAACTTTTTTTGTAATTTGTCGGAATGAATCTAATGTACCTTGATCAGCAAGAGCATTTAATTGACGATTTGTCCAAAACCAGACACTTGTACGAAAGCCAACATAAGGTGTTTTGACTTGCTCAGGATTATTAACAAGATCAAGACCTAATGCTTTGCCAGCTGCAGCATAATTAGCACGACCAGTAAGTTGAATTGGTCCTCGACCTTTGAATCGCATTCCATCACCAGGCTCTGTATTACCTAATTTTATACGACCTTCATAATCGGAACCATTTGCTATTTCTTCCATATATACTAATTGACCAGATTCATGTGCTAATTGTGCCAAAAAAGCAGATTGACGTAAGCATGTATTAATTGAACCTTCAACAAGAGCATCATTGATATTATTTAAATATTCTGGATGCTTGCATTTGGGCATAATTGCTTTGAGTTGTTCAGCAGTGATTACTATAGAAGAAAATAAATAAATTTTTAAAAATAATCTAATATTAGTATAACTTACTTGCACTCGATTGTTGAGCACAAAGCATGACAACTGTGAGAAGTAACAATGCGAACATGATTGTTTGAATAGATTACTGATATTGAATAGACGGACAATCGCTAGTTTATATATATACATGTAGCACGAGAAAAATATTTTTTTGTTTTTTTCTAAAAATATAGGATTAGTATTTTGCAATTACAGTTGTCCTTGAAAGGATTCAATTTCAAAGAATAGATGCTTAGAATCAGCATCACGTGCATTCGATATCTTTTATTATTGGGGTGTCTGTTATATATAACATAAGATTATATATAGACGCCAACGCTTTCGGCGATTTTTTAAATAGAATATGATCTTGAAGTCTGCGTAGAAAGTTTATGTAAATATTTATCGTTCCTGTCACGTTATAAGTAGTTTATATTTAACTTTGCCAGTATATTAAACTGAGCTATTTATTTTGAAAAAAAATTTATTAGTTAATTAATCACATTCCGTAATAATAACGCCAATATATTTTTCAGTGCCAATAATAATATCAGATTTTTTATCATCATTAAGATCAGCTATTGATGCACATCGTGGTGAAGGATAAGTGGTATAGTTAACTGGAATACTAAACGTACCGTATCCATCATTAAAAAATACACTAACATAATTTGAATGAAAATTTGGAACAATAATATCATTTGTACCATCATTATTATAATCAGTTAATGCGACGGATACTGGATTAACCATGTTTGATAATATTGTTTGATTATTAAATATACCATTATTATTAAGAAGAATATTAATTTTATTTGAAAAAAAATTTACTACAATAATATCAAGTTTAGTATCATTATTAATATTACCAGCTGTAACATATATTGGTCCATAACCAACTGAATAAGTAATTTGTTTAGAAAAATCCCCATTTCCATTATCGAAATGAATGCCGATTGTATTTGTTCTTGCATATGCAATAATAATCTCAAGTTTATTATCATCATTAAGATCAGCAACTGTTACAGACATTGGTTGATTACCAGCTGGATAGATGATTACATCTCTAAATATTTTATTACCTTTATTGTAAAAAATACTGAGCTGAATACCGCTTGAACCTGTTACAATAATATCATATTTTTCATCATTATTAATATCAGCTATTGCTATTGAGTATATAGTAGTGATAAAGTGTTCCGATGGTGAATACCATATATCATTAAATATACCATGACCATCATTCCAAAGAATAGCTATCGTAGAATATGATTGACCAACAATAATATCTACATAACCATCATCATTAATATCTCCTGTTGCCAGAGATAATACAAATTGTTGAAGTTCATAAAGTTTTTTATCAGTAAACTTATTATTCCCCAAGTTGAAAAGAATCGAAACGAATATATATGATTCTTGGATAAAGATAATATCGATTTTATTATCATTATTAAGATCAGCTGTCATTACTGATGAAATAAAACTACCAGTATCTTTTGTTAATACAGAATATTCTCTCGTACACTGATCTAATATACCATAGAAAGAAAAATGTATTAAAATAGAGGAAGATGAAGACTTCTTACTTACCAAATGGTGGTGCTGTTGTTGTTGATACAGTAACTTTCCTGGTTGTTTTTGTTAGTATTGGACTTGTTACTATGGAACAGTTTTATTAAAATAGATAGATCGAAATAAAAAAAATTATCTACCTGGTTTTGATATTTCTGGTTCTGAAACATCGGTACTAGAGTTTTTTAATAAAGTATATAATACTGGAGAAAGCATAGCTCCAATAACTATCAAACCAATTATTGAATATCCAATACGTTTTAGAAAATATTTACGTTTACTAATTTTTGTACTAAATATAAAATTTACTATTATAGTTTTATATATAAATAAAATTTGAATACTTCTCTAGTGTTCTTTTTGTATTTGATCGTAACTAAAATATCAAATCTCTTATTTATTATAGATACTCGTATGATGTATAAATTACATACATTATGAATTCTTTTTTCATTTAAATCAGTATTTACTAATTCTTTAATAGTTGAAACTTCCATAGTTTTATATTTTGTATAAAAGAAATAGTTTAGTGCAAGCTACATAAAATATTATTTTTTCTTAGAAACGGATGTTGATTCAAAGAAAAAAAAAAGACATATGACCATTAAATTTCTTTTACAAATATTTATTATGCTTTTTCTAACCAACCACTATATCGTACAATTAATCCTGTGAATCTGTGTTTAATCTCAACATTAAAACAGAATTGACCATTATTATCATATTCATATGAAATTCCATTTGGTGCTAAGAAACTGGGTAATGGAATACCAAGAAAACTCCAATTTCGAACGATTAAATATAATTTTTCTGAATTAATTACTAATGCTAAACCAAAAGTAAATGGACCGAATCGTTCATTTAATAATTTATCTGATCGACTATGACCTTCCATTTGCCAACTTGAAAATGATCTTCCAGCAAATGTTCGAGTCCATAATTCTCCTTTAATATTAGGATGAAATACGACTTGAACAGGTATTTCTTGTTCAGCTTGAGGAAATCGAAATAACATAGCAATTAATTTTGATGTAATACTAGTACCACGTTCAACTTTAGCAAGTCCTGCAACTTTAGTATTAGTTGTATAGCTATGCATTCTTTGCAAAGAATATGGCAATTGATACCATGCTTGATCAAGTAATTTTTGATATAAAGTCAAAGATGTATTAGTTCCATTTATTGATTCACGTTGTCCTGTAATAATACCAAGTTTTTTAAATAGATTGTCGTAATCTTCAAGTTCAAGATCAGTTGTTGCAGCTCTAGCACCACTTATTGGTATTTTACCGTTTAATATACGATGAATAATAGCATCAATACCTAGTGTAGGAATGAATGGACCAATATCACCTTCTGCTATTAAATGCCATGATCGTTCACATGTATGACCTTGATTATTAGTACCTTCAATTGATATAAACATACCACCACGATGTTCACCCCAACGTATGATATTCATTACTTGTTGAATAATTGATGAGAATGAAGATAAATTAGGAAATAATCGTAATCGAACTAACCATGCAAAATAATTTAGTAAACGATGTAAACTTTCTGGTATTGTTCCTGCACCAAACCATATTGAATTAATATTTGGCCATAAATCTCTTAAAATTTGATAATCAGGTACATCTACTAATGAAAAACGACGATTCTTTAATGGTAAATAACCTGGTGGACTTATTGTATATCGCATAGTTTCTGTCAAACCATAACGAACAGTTAATTGACGATGACGAACTACAGACATTGGTTGGCCTGCATAACTTGTAATTGCGCGTATTACATTTGGACCAATATTAACGTATGGTGATGGTGCAATACCACCTTTAATTGAATGTATTTCATGCAATCCTTTTGTCAAAGATCGAACGACAGTTGCTGTTAATACAGGACATGTACTAACACCAGAAAGTAGAAATAAATTTTTAGATTTAGCTTGACTATCAAATTGACTAATATCTTTAACAAATTGTGTTCCATCAGCTAAATCCATATAATTAGTTGATGTTGCTAAACATGCTTTAACAACATGATATGGATCATTACCATAGAATTGAAATGGACCAGTAGCATCAATAACTATATCAGATTGAATTGATTTTAAACGTTTTTCAATTTCTAAATCATTTCGATCAAAATATAATGGTAATATTTTTGCTACATTTTTATCTATTGTTTTACAAAATTGTTCAGCATGTTTGATTGATCTACCTGCTATGAATAATGTTAATTGAGACTTATTAGCTAGTAACTGTGATAATCGACTACCAAATGTTCCATAAGCACCAATAATCAAAAT